AGGTAAGCACCTAAAAATTAAAAAAACATATTTCTTATGGAAAACAAAAAAAATACATTGCATTCTAAATGTTCGTCCTATGATTCCAGATATTTAAGTCCAGAGATCAAGTTCTCATTCAGGGTTTTTCAATCCTGGCCCTGTCGACATTTGGAATAGAATACATAATTTATTAAATGGAGACTGTCCCGTGAATTATTGTATGTTTAGCAACACTACTGGCCTCTACTCACTGGATGCCAGTAGCAATATCTCCCTCCCCAGCTATAAAAAATGAAAAAGGTCTCCAGATGTTGTCAGTGTCATCTAATGGAGATTGTCACAGACTGTCTCCATTTGAGAACTACTCATCCAACTACTCTGTGTTCATTCTTAACTGAAGATACAAATAAACTTTATCTAGTTTCATTGCTCTGAGACTCTATAGGTTAAAGGTAGGAATATAGAACATATGTAACTGATGAGAGACTAAAATGTTTTTATTTGTTATCAATAAAAATGGTAAGACTGGGGCTAGGAATGTAGTTCAGTGAAAAAGAACTTGACAAACGTGCACAGGACCCTAGGTTCCATCTCCAGAACACACACACACACACACACACAAAGAAAAAATAAAGCGAACATCTTATATAAAGCTATATTCAGATAAATTCTAATGCTAAATTGGTACTTTTTGGCCAATAATACTTGTTAAATATGAAAAGGTGTGTCTAGTATCCATCTGGAAGTTGTGTATCATTTACATAATGCAAATCCTGTCAATACATATGCTATTGAATAATTTTTTAGTAAAACTGAATTTAGCATTTCTTTTCTGTCTCTAATTGCATTCATCATTTTAGAAGCATAATCCTCAGCTTTGCCTTGTGTAAGCAAAATTCTCCAAGTACCTGGTAATGTGAATGTGCATTGTAAGACCGGCATAAAGTATTTGCAGGGATCAAATGCTTGAGATTTTTATGACAGTTTTGTGGGTTCAGATATACTGAAAAGAGTACATGAGAATTTGCTTGCTTACATTTCCTAGTATTTTTAAAGTCGATTATTTTTTTAAAATTATAGTTTTATCTACCAGGTAGATAACCCACCTGGTATTCTTGGGTTCATGGTTAAAGTGGGCAGCCTACTAAATACTTATTTGGTGCTTTATAATTCTTTTCATGTTTTTTATGTGCTATATAGATTATTTGGTTCCCAATGGTGATTGCTCTTGGCAGAGGAAATAAGGAGTACACTTTTCTCTCTTTCATGTTCCTTTTAATATTATTTTCAATAATTCTCTTTAAATTTTGCTTTAGATCATATAATTTTAATGATTTCTTAGAAAATGTTAAATAGTTATCCATTAATCCTTCACTTATTAAATAATTAATAAAGTTTTGATAGATGACCTAATAACAATTCATTAAATTAGTATCCAGTTTATTTATTCCACATTTCAGCAAACATCTACTGAGTAGATGATATTTATGTTGCTAGGCTCTGTGAGGGCTATACAGGTGAATCATAATAATTAAAATTATGAATAAAGGTAAGTGCAAATAACTTTAATGCAACAATTATACTCATCCTCTTTATGACATGAATGTCCGTTCCTTTTAGGGTGCAGTTATTTCTAAAACCCAAAATTATTTGCAAACATCATGAACTCCTTGAGAAAATATTCTGTTAAATCAAACAGCACATGACTCTTAACATATTTTTAAAATATATCTCTTTATACTTTTCCTGCTTAGTTCAGGTTGATTTTGGAGATTAAGTCATTAACTATACAATTTTTTTTTCTGGCAGTAATGGATGTTGAACTCAGGACCTCGCATGGGTAGGCAGTTGTTCTACTGCTTCAGCCATGTGCCCAGTCCTCTTTTGCTTTGGTTATTTTTGAGATAAGGTCTCAGTTTCTGCCGGGACCATGATCCTTCTCAATTAGATCTGGACCATGATCCTTCTATTTTTGTTTCTTAACATAGCTGAGAAATTGGCATGCATTACGGTGCCAAGCCATTTGTTGAGATGTGATCTTACAAACTTTTTGCCCCACATGTCCTCGAACCACAATGCTGCAGATCTCTACTTTCAGAGTAGCTAAGATTACAGGACTGGGTCACATCACCTGACTTATTAACTATACAATTCTTAACTACAATGTCTAATGTCGAAGCATCATTCTAGGTGGGTGATAGTTCATTATTATCATAGTCCAATGACCTGGTCCTGTAATCCTCTTTTACTCTACAGTCCTGCCTATCATGTGGTTAAGCCAACTTTCCTCCTAGAGGCAAGCCCATGATACTTTTTCCTTGTGTAACTACTCATGTTCATTTGGTAAACACAGAGTTCTACAAATTGAGTCTATTATTTTGGCTTTTAGCACTTTTTCCTTATGTATACCATTTATGGTTTAAAATAGTTACACCTTAAATCAGAATTTTAAAAATTAAAAAAAATAGTTCTGAAATCACATTTTTCCTTTGCTCATTTTTTATTAGAAAAATTTTAGTCACATAGTAATGAGACTTTTTTTAGATTTTAGGCTCAATATATGTAGTTTGGAACTTTGACCACATGAAAAAGAACCCTTTAAATATTTAGAGAAGTAGCTTCCTTTTTAAAAACACTATACTGTGCTCAAGTGCTTAAAATTTGGCTAACTATCTGAGTCAATTGAGAGTGTATGTGAATTCTAACATATCTTTCACTTGTTTGTAAGTAAAAGATAAATTTAAAAAACAAATAAGAATAAAACGCAAAGTAAATATAAAGATGCCATATAGACTGTCATGATAAAATTTCTACATAATGCATTGTTTCAGTAAATGCATCTTTATGGTTCTGGCAAATTTGCTGAATACTCAATTACTTCTTTAGGTAAGATAGATCTGAGCACTTTCAGAGAATAATTTGAAATAATGTGTGTGATTTAAACTTTTCCATGGATAAAAATTGTTAAAATGTCAAAGGACCTTAAAGATCTTACTTAGCAACTCTGTCTTGGCTAATAAGAAAATTTTCCCAATTTATGTGAATGCTAAGGTTTGGACTGGGAGCATGGAATACAGACAATTGTTTGCCCTGCGTCTGCCTGTATGACGCTGTTATTTCACACGAAATGCATGGTCCAAGGATCTGTTTTATTGTAGATTAGTTTTTAGAGATATTCAGTTGAATGAGACATACTTATATAAAATATATAGCTTTTTTCCAAATTGGAAAGACTAGAGCTACATTTCAGGCAAAAGAATATTCAGTTTACTTTTCTGTGATGCTGCAAGTCTGGTCGTTGCTGTAACTGTGCAAGTGAGAAGAGTGTACAGGTAAATGTACTAGAATATTTAAAATACACTTACATAGGCACGCTTCATTCTTCTTAATAGAAAAGTGAAAAATCCCAAGTCTACCTTCCACATTTCCATTAATAGTCTAGAAGAAGACACAGAAAACAGCCTGTTGATTAGTTCTAAATGATTCTTTAAGTTGAGAGTTTCTATGAACATCACTGAGGACAGAGAAATAATGCTGCAAAATTATAGAATGGAAAAAGTCAAGTCCAGCCTAGAAAGAATCAGCAAGCATCCATGAAGTGAGCTTCACACTCCTCATGGAGAAGCTCTAGATTATCAAACACATGGAGTGATTCCCAATAATATCTGCATGAAAAGAAATACATACTGGGAAATGCAGATGATGATACCTAAAAAGAAAGTAAGACCTGTGCATCTTGTCACCCAACTCAAGTCAAATTCTCACTCTAAATAAATCATAGAACTCACCTAATAAAAATAGGAGAAGAGGTCTTTACATTATAACTGAGGTATTTTTAAAAACTCATCTTTTCTTCTTCTTTTGAGAGATATAAGTTGGCCTCTAAGACCATGCATGGGTAGTCGGAGGATTGTGCATCATTTTCCCATCTATGCTTGGCTCTGTTGACCTGAAAGGAAACCCATATTTGATTGGGTTTAGAAAATATAGGGGACGTGGTATTTTAATTGCTGTGCTGTAGTGGTCCTAGCTGTTTCTCTTCTCCCTTTCATTCCCCAGAGTTTTGAACAGCTGGCTCTGCAGCTGTGAACAGAATCTAGGACTATCTCCCTGTGGGGCAGACATAAATCTTGCCAGAGGATTGCAAAAGGAAGGTGTTTTTTGTTTTCTTGACTTTTTTTTCATTGCCAGGTTTCTTTTGCTGGAAAATTGAAGGAAATAACTTCATTCACCATGTGGCATTTACCCTTTCTGCACAAAACCTATATTCTTTGCCCCCTTCTTCCAAGTTTTAGAAAGGTATCATTTTAGGTTTCTAAAAAAGATGGTCATTTAAAAAAGCATTTATCCTTTGCTTTCTTTGAAATAGGAAATTAAAAACTGGTTTCTTCATCACCTATAAATAGAGGCATTCATTCAATATAAGCAGAAATGCTAATAACAACCTATCTTGCCATCAGACAGCCTGCTGCCCTTGGCAGGTAGAATGAGACTTAAGCCAATGATGTTTACTTTGATTTCCATGATATAACTTCTATACCCTTACCCATGGGCCTGCTTATACACTACTCATTCCGAGTTCTTAAGGGTCACAGTGAACTCTGAAATCTAGTCAAATTCTTATAGCAGTGGAGCAGAACTTGAACCCACCATCATGCAAGACTATAGGAAATATGTAGGAAAGAACAAATGCAGCTTGAGATGAAGTAAAAGCACCACAATATCAATTTCCTAATTCTCAAAAATACTTGAATGGATGGAGATTTGTATGAATGACCTTTCTCTAAAGAAGAAGATAATCCAGTGGGAATTCAGTACTCATTTAACTTTATTGTCTGTATTAGTCATACTCAGATGGTTTATTGCTGAGTTGCATCTGATATAATGACATTGATCCATTGGATGGTGATTAGATCTGAAAAGAAATAGTGAAAATACTAAATACTCCAGGAAATGTCACGGCAATGAGTCATTATGCATACAATTACTTTTCTTGATTGGTCTTGTTGAGTCCAATGATGCAGAGAATGAAAACAGATACAGTTGTGGTTAAGGAACTAACATTATTACTTTTCTCTGTCAGATGTGTTGTAGAAGACAAGAACTCCAAGGTGGCCTGGTTGAACCGTTCTGGCATCATTTTCGCTGGACATGACAAGTGGTCTCTGGACCCCCGGGTTGAGCTGGAGAAACGCCATTCTCTGGAGTACAGCCTCCGAATCCAGAAGGTGGATGTCTATGATGAGGGTTCCTATACGTGCTCGGTTCAGACGCAGCATGAGCCCAAGACCTCCCAAGTTTACTTGATTGTGCAAGGTAAGAAAAGGATGGGATAAGCTGATGGCTAAGGGAGAAGTGGACGTGGAAAATAATAAAAAAGTACCCTTGCACTATGAGTCAGTACCTTTGGCAAGAACATTTTCTTCTAGTCCTGATTATGAAAATACAGAGAACATCCACAGCTATTGAACAAAGTAGGATAGGGACATAAAAATTCTTATCTCAGAAAGCAAAATAAAACCAAAAGGGTTGGGGCATGGACCAAGTGATAGAGTCTTTGCCTCAGAATGCAAGAGCCTCTGGGTTCAATCCAAGTTTGGTTTTAGCTGTCTTTGCCCTAAAGATTGCCATGAATTACCTGTTTTATGACCAAAAAGTCATGCAGAAAAGTAAAAATTCCTTTGAAGCCTTACCATTTTCTCATCCGTCCAGCTTCCTCATGTTAGTATCTTCTCTGAGTAACAAGCTACCTGTGAGCAAGTCTAATGACAAGGATCTGCAAAGTCACTGGGGACGATTTGTTGCTAGATTGGGGTTTCCAAGGGCACATCTGAGTCATGGTTTTACAGAATGAAAATCCTAAATGGCATACACATGCCCCCATAGTACAGCTCTCTTGGGTCCCTTTCCCCATAATCGCAGAATGAAAACAAAGCTGATCAACTGCACAATTTTATTGCAAACAAAGTCAAACCACCAGCAGTTTTAATGCGTCTAACAGGAAAGATCTAAGCACTACCAAAATTAGGGTTGTGTTCGTGTATTCTTGATTTATAATTTTATGTAAATTTAATGCAAATTAGGCATGGCCCTAGGGCGCCTGTCTAGATTCCAATGCAGTCAGTGGTGTGGCAAAGTTTGACTGTAGCTTCTACTAATGTGTTTGGAATTGATTATTGCAGCATTTAAATTTTTGCTCTCCCAGATCTTCTGATTAATAGATTGAAACCAGAATAAAATACATCAGAGACTGCCGGGTGCAAGGGTGGTTTTGTCATGTGACCTCTATCTTGGTCCATTTGCAATGGCTGACAGCTTCATTTTATTCCCTGTAAAAGGCCTGTCTACTGATTTGCAAAGTTCCAATCATAGTCAAAGCATAGGATGCTTTCTTTGTAGTTTTAGTGATAGTATTTGAGAGCTTATGACATAAGACGCTGGCGTTTAGATCTTAGGCAAACTGTTTAATGTATAAGCATAACTAGAAATATGCAAATATGCCAGTAGGTTAATTTACCAGCTCCCTCAAAACACATAAAGTGTGCACATACACACACTCCTGGCTCAACGCAGGAGAATTTCTATCTGATTCTGTGGAAGAGGGAGAGATGGTAACCAGTTTACTTAAGGCTCTTTGTAACAAATTTTATCTAACAATTACTTGTTGAGATTATGTCATGATTTTCTCCTTTGACTTTTGATTTATTTTATCCCTATTTCTTTAGAATGGATTATACTTTTAAAATCCTGCTTGATTATGACATGTTTATACAATTTTACAGTTTTTATTATTCAAAAGCTTTTAGAGACTACAATAGATATTCTGTATTGTCCTAAATTAAACATAATTGAACAACCTGAGTGTTATATTTCTTGGTTTCTGGATGAGGAAACAGAAGAACATTAAATTTAGGTTACTTATTGAAGGTCAGACAGAGTTTAGAGGTCAATTTGAGAGACAAGCTGACCTGAAATCAAGTCTGAAACACTTTCTACTGGATTGAAATGTTTTGTCTTTGACTCTAAATCTGAGTTCTTTCCGTGAAATTCTCAAACTTACTCCCTTTTTTTCCTGTTGTTCTGTGTACTTTTGAACTACAAACATGACCATCCCTAGAAGGTTAGAACCAGAACTCAGACCAGATTGTGTAGACTTTCATGCCTTGGCAGTGAAAGTAAAATTAAATTTAAGGATGGAAAAGAACCTGCTAATTGCCAAACATTATTTAATCATTGTCTTATTTAATTCTAATATTACTAACAAGTGGATGTTGATTATTTTTATTATGTATATGCAAAAGATTAAAGATTAGAGACAATAAGGAAATTGCCCAAGGCTCCCTGTTGGCTTAGGACATGATTTGAAATCTATATCTGTCTGATTCAAAGTACTATTATATTTCCTACCTTGAAAGAGGAGATGAGCAACAAAGACTGTACTTACAAAGGGGATGAAGAAAGGATTGTCTCTTTCTTGAGTCTGAGTCATGGAGAGGAACTTCTGGAAGATTGTATGCATGTTGCCATTTGATCTGAGCACCAATGGCTAAACCATTTCTCTATAGGGCATTCAGCTTTGTGGTCATCAGGTATTCCATCCATTCATATTTTCCCACTGATTCCTATGTGGCACCTCATCTCTGCATTCTTCTTTTAACTACATCCAAGATTCCATTTCTAGGTATGGCTGCATCCTTCTTTTCCCTAGCTTCTCCTTCAGAATCCAAGGGCCTTTCGAACATTTCAGGCCCTGCTTTGAAATCCTTCATGATTTCTGCAACTCCATTCCAACTAGTCATTGAATAATTATTCTATTCCTTTTACTTAATTGTAGTTAAGGAAACCTTTACTCAAAGAGGTCACCCTTAGCTCAAAGATTGTAAGATATTGTTAATGAATAGCATTTAAGAAGATAGGTTCGACAGTCACACTGCCTGATTGAATTCTAAATTTTTCTTCATGCCATCTAAAAACACTTTGTGGCAAACCACTTAATTTCCCTAAGGCTCAGTTTTGTCATAAATGAAATAGAAAGAAAACACAAATATCTTAAATCCCTCTAAATTTATTGCAACTATTAAAGTATTTGATCTCCTAGCCTAACATCATGTGTTCTTATCCAGTAGACGATGATAATATGAACACCAGGAAGCTCTTGCTGCTCCAGTATTTCTGTAAGGGTCACTCTTGTGCTGGGGATGCTGCCCAGCATCTAACAACTGCTGTGAATGATTGCCTGTTATCAGCTCAGTCAGTTTTTATTTTGGGTCCCATGAGGCCATTTTTTAAGTTGTCCTTTTCCTTAAGATCTAGTTTAGCTTTACTTCATTTGAGACTCTAGAAGGTTTCTTAGATCAGTATCACTTTTAGGTTTTTACCTACATTTATCAAAGGTGTTTAAGTCAAAATGCAGTTTGCATAACTGCACTTAAATGGTTTGCCAAATTCAGATTGGTAGGACCAGTCCAGAATTCCTGATTCAGTAGATGTGGGCAGTGTCTGATGAGAATTTGCATTTATGACAAGTTCCCAAGTGAGAACTGCTGAGGATCCTGGTATAGGGTTATGGAGAACCACATCCCGAAAGGATTATCCACTTTAAGATTGTATGTAGAAGTACTACTGCATGATTTCAACTGATTGCAGGAAGTGTTGTATCCACAAATATTCTAAAAACTGATGTAGCTGGACACAAAACAGACAACACATGGGATGACATATACCTTAATTTTCCCATCCCGTTTTAAGTCCTTGAAGGCTGCTCCCATAGCATATCTCTGTGGAAAGAAAAATCTTCCCTCACCCTAAACTGTCCATTTTCAGGTACCAAAGCAATGGTTTTGGCATACTGGTCAAGAATTTTAAAAAAAAATCTCAACTTTACAAGTATGTTAGTGTTTATAACCCCTTATATTTCTTCATCTTGTTTTCCTTGGAGCCTGTATTCCTTGTGTGTGTGTGTGTGTGTGTGTGTGTGTATTCCCTCCACGTCTTGACTTTTCAATATCTTTAATGTTTTCTCCTAGTTTCATGATTATTTTTCACAGAGAAAGTTAAGTTTTTATCAGTTCATGAAGGTCATTGCACACAAAATAGCCTGTGTTGAAATAAATATGCTGTGCAGTTCGATAAACTCTATCTTCCTCTAAATGACAGCTATATTACACCTTCCTAATAAAGTACGCAGGTGACAGTGTCACATCACAAATGTACAAACCAATACTGACCTTTGGGGTCCCTTATGATGACTTGATAGTAAATACGTTAGATGCGAAAGTGAATGTTGCACACGTATAAACATGCACTTCACACCTAACAAATGAAGGGACCCATAGCTGAAGCCAGATATTTTGCTTCCTATGCCAGCTACTTTATAGTGAAGTCCAAGAATGAAATTGAGAAAACATCACCCTTAAAATCAATAAAGTGAAAAGATAAATATTCCTGACATCTTTCCCACTAATAATATTTTCTTTTACCTCAAAAAGTCACCCTCCTATGACTTCCTGGTCTTCCTGATCCCACTGCATATGGAAGCACATGTGTCTCTAGACTATTATCTTTGCATAATGTATAGCAAATTCAACATTTAGCTTTATTATTCTTGTAAAAATGCAGGTACCTGAGACCCACATCCAGAACAACTGAATCAGAGTTTTGGTGGGTCAAAACCTCCAAATATGTTACGCTCTGAAACACCAAGAACTACTATTCTTGGAATCTAAACAATCAATGAGAGGGATTTACTGCTGCTGCCTGCTCATTTTCCTGTATGACCCTGCATCAAATTGTATCCAAAACTCTACAGAGCAAGTACTAGAGGATTGTAATAGTAAATCTTAAAAATAAAATGAACCTATGCATTCATCAAAAATAGTGATTAGTCAGGGTGTTAGAGCCTTAGGAATAGTGGCCCCTAAAATGACAGTATTTCTTTAGAACCTCCATGTGGCTGTGAATCCAAAGGAAATTCTCACTTAATAATATTTTTTTAAATATGAATGTTATTTTAAATTATCCCATTTATGTATCTTGTACAGAATAATTCTTAATTTGGTATTATACTAGAGTGATCTTTTCCTTGTTGAATCTTTTGTTGTCCTTTTATATTATTCTGATTTGGTTAGCACTTAAAAATAGCCTAATCTAAAAATATTAAAATTGGAGATTTTTTTTAACATTTTGGAATCTCAAAATATATTACCTTTCTAATGTATACTTACATTTCACTATAATATTAAAAAAGAATACAAAAATTATCCCACCATTGGAATTCAAATCATACATCCAACTGGTGGAACTATATACTTTACTCT